GTGTGTGTGTGTGTACAAACAAAAACACCATGTCGAATGTACTGAGGTAAACACGACAAAAAAATAAAATTGTACCATGTGTAAACTTAGAAAACCATGATTTACGTTACCTTGATTTTGATTTACTTTCCTGTAAAGACGCGAAGGATTTAGAGCAGTGTAAGGTATGAAATATAAAGCTGTACGTTAAGAGGTGAGACGCCTTCAATTCAGCGTCTATCTCCCTCCGACTGGACCGAGCCAAGAGGACGGAAAGCCATAAAGAACCCATGTTCTTGAATGCCCCGTTTAGGTATTCGAACCAGTGCCTTTTGCACAGTAGTCAGCATGACACCAGTAGAGCTAGCGGTGCATTCTTGGCTATCTATTCAGTCTCATGTTTAGAGTCCATTGATTTCAGGTCTTTTATTCATAGAGGTGTTTCTACACCCCCATTGACACAAATTAAATACTCTAGGTGGCGTGCTTTCTCCCTGCCTGCCAGGGCCAACCCGGGCTAAGATGCATACAAAGTCTCAGCAGAAAAACTGAGATACTTGATATAAACTCTCCCCACTCGGCAATCGAACTCGCGCCTCCTGCAAGCGACAGAACCTAACCGCGACACCACAGGCAACAGTACTTCAGGTCTCAACCTTTGCACCCGCCCCCCAACCACCAAGAACAAAACAAAAACAAAACAACAAAAACAAAACAACAACAACAAACAAACAAACACCCCCCCAAAAAAACACAACAAACAACCCCCCAAAAACAAAACAAATACACAAAAACAAAAGAAACAAAACAAAACAAAAAATCACAAAAACCCCAAAAACCCAAAACAAAGCAAAAAACTATGGGCTTTTCAATTATTATAATCGGGTGTATTTTAAAATTGAACAAACAAGAGACCTATTACGGTATTTAATAATCACAGGTCATCATCCAAATATGGAACGAACAGACATTGTTATTCTTCACCTCACAATACGGTGCATGTAATTTAAGAGTGACCACAACTCAATCATCTTATTGGGTTTGTTTTTATTACATTGACGGAATGACGGGATACTCTCTCTCTCTCTCTCTCTCTCTCTCTCTCTCTCTCTCTCTCTCTCTCTCTCTTTCTCTCTCTCTCCGGCTTGCTTCTGTGGTGCGATGCCCAACACGCACACGAACACACGAAAGCACAAAAACAAACAAAACAAATTATTTAAAAAACCCAAACAAATACATACATACACACATTATGCACATAAACTCATACATACACTGTCTCCATCAAACCTTTAAACATGTTTATATGCCGGAGCATACACTGAGCACAATCATTACATATTATGTTGGAGCACAGCTCATTATGTCAAAGTTCCAAAGTCATAACCACTGAAGATTTTTTTAAATGGTGAAGTTGTATGGGTTTAACGCCTCTATCAACACTATTAGGTTATTTAACAGGTGGGACCTCCGAGTTTAACGAGTACGCCTGAAAGGACCGAGCCAAGTGGAAAATTGATGCAAAGTACTTTTCCCAAGTACACAATGTCGGGTCGAGCTGAGACTCAAACCCCCGAACCCACAATCTCACAATTACGAGTCCGGAGGCCTAACCATTAGGCTACTGACGCCACCCCTACTAAAAAGTGAATCGATTTTCTAAAACTTTGGCAAATTCATATTATGTCATATTGTAATTCGAGCATTGGACACCCGCTGCTCTGTGGCAATTTAGTAAGCACTAGTTTATTTACTCTTGTTTGTCCGTGTAAAAAAATTCAGCTCATTGTTTATGTGCCAGTGCAAACGCAACTTTGCATGGCTTTCCTGTAAGTCAGCGATCAAACAAAATTATCTTAGCCTATTATAAAAATCTTGATACGGAATATTTCACAGACGAAAGAAAGTGAACAAGGTATAGGCTAGATCTATATGTATTAAAGATTTATTGTGGGGTCTGTACTTTGGAATTCACTAACAACACTAATGATTCAAATGTTATCAACGTTGTTGAAATTGTAACGCAAGATTATTAGTGCTTTTTATAAAAGTATCGGGGTTCTGAAATTATTTTTTTGGCCATGATTTTATTCTTCAAAATAGGTTACACGAAATCATTAGGCCGATGACGACGTACAGTTTGATGAAACAAAGTAATTGCTTCACAAGAATAATTACATATATATATATATATATATATATATATATATATATATATATATATATATATATATATATATAGGCTGGACCAAAAAAACGGAGAATGTACATCCATTTGAAAACATGAAGCATCAGAATATTCTTTCCCCATACCAAACAATCCAATATGTCTGACAAAGTTTATTCTAATGCATTGAGTGCATATAAATAATGGAGATTCAATGTAAGGTAATGAAGGGAAGATGGCAAGATTTTTCAAAAAACAAAACAAAAACAAAAACAAAGCAAGAAAAAAAAAAGAGGAAAAAAATTGCCTAGTTGAATGTGTTGTTTTTTTCCGACTGCATGGTAGGATCATTTGAATCGAAACAGCATCTCAACATCCTTGACAGTTCAGCGGCTATCTAACAAGCGACCTTTCGACACTTGGTTTCAAACAGCTATCTCAATATTTTGTGGGGATGGTGGCCAAATGCATTGATGTTTTTGAGGAACCGATAGCCAAATGATTTAAGGCTATCTGAGGGAGATTGCCCAATGGTATAATGCTATATGAGGAGGATAGCCAATGGTGGCCCAATGCTTAAATGTTATACGGGGAAGATGGCCCAATGCTTAAATAACATACGGGAAAGATGGCCCAATGATTTAATACTATATAGGGATGAAGGCAAAATGCTTAAATGATATATTGGAAAGATGGCCCATTGATTTGATGTTATATTGGACAGATGGCCCAATGATTTGATGTTATATTGGAAAAATGGCCCAATGATTAAATGCTTAAATGGGAAGGTAGTCCAATGCTTTACTTTAGAGCAGGTGGGGAAGATGGCTCGAGATATGTGAGGAGCATTCAATGTGTTATGTGTACTTCCACGAAGACCGGATAGGTTGGGCCAACATGGACAGAGGGGATTATTTTAGTGAGTGCCAAGACAATAGCCAATATTTTTTTTTCACACTTTGTGAAACAGTAATAGGTTTACTTTCAAAAGTGACAAACACAATGCATCATTCTGCTATCTGTAATGGCGGGTGAGCTTCCCGACGTATGAGGGGGAAGAAAGTCCATCTTAGTATGTACCAATTCTGCTATTCTCAGATCAATAGTATTCATATTTTATCAATGATTTAGTTTAGTACCTCAAGTTACGAATTTTGGGTGTTACACTGTACTTGTAATTTGTTTTACATAAAGGTACATAATATTCTGTCTGTTGTTTATTTTCAGTCACTATTTTGAATTAACTATTGTCATCCTCCCCTTGAGTAGGCCTACCTTTTAAAACAAGAGGTACGAATAGCCCCATAAAAACACCGAACAATGTGACATTTGAATGACAGCGAATAATAAACAAAGAAAAATGGGATGAATGAAATACAAAGATAAAACAAAACACAAAATAATTCAAATACAATTCACGGGATGTAGAGCGGGTCAAGAGGGTTTTGACTATTACCATTGATTACATATTATTACGTTTAAGGCATGAGTGGGATATAAATCAAAGCCAGAGTGAAACTTACCAATTTAGACAGCGAAAAACTTCTTGTGCTTTGACAGCAAGTGTAAACTAAAGTGTCCCCATGAACCGATACACAATTATATACACTGAAACTATAATAACAGTAACGATAGTAATAATTTAAAATTAAAAAAACAAACAAACAAAAAACAAAAAACA